TTCATGTGAAAGGGACAAATACACTGCTTCAGGAGCGGGATACCTAGTTGATGAAAAGTGATACAAAATCATTCGGCTGAAGCACCCTTTCGGTGCCTGTTATGCCATACGGAGATTGTACGAGTGCTGGGATAGTGCCAGGTTGCCCAAGCCTAGACAGGGGAAGTCGGGAGGCAGAGGTCGGGTTCGAACCACGGACCTCCTGGTCAACAAATTCGCGCTCTAACCACTTAGGCCGTCTCGCCTCATACAACTCTAAGCCTCCCTCAAGCTCCCATGTTGTTCTTACCAGCCGAGCGTCCAACAACTCTCCACGAGTCAACAAGATCTCCTGGCCACGACCTAATCATTACCAACCCCCAGCTGTTTCGAGCAGCCGAATCCGTTCAAGGTAAAAACTTTGAGATTCATCGCTAACCATACCGCCAAGACTCAAGAGCTAAAAAACTGTTACAAACCCCTTACAACCGTAACCGGATTACATGAAAAGAAAACCTCTACCGAATCCAATACCATTCGAGATAAAACTCAGTCACTGAGAGCTCTAGTGTCATGTCCCATGTCAACGGACACCCCCGCACAATGGGTAAGGCCATGTGCAGTTAGGGCTGATCTGAAGCGCATACACGTGGACGCTCTGTATGTTGCTGATGCAACTTCGGAATAATGAGAACAAAGGGTGAACAGATTTGGGCATCCCAAAGACCACTGACTCTAACTTGTTGATCGTGGACGAGCAAACATTATGAGACATTGCAAAAACTTACAGAGCAATGGGAAAAACACCGAAACGGCGTGGAGTTTTTGGGAAAATGGATGGTTTGGACAGCGCCACTTTTTGCTTGTGAACCGCATCGTCGAGAAAACTATTCTTCTCTCTAACTATTCAGACCACGTCCTGAAAAATGGTATCAAACGAATAGTTTTCCCAACCCACCATCACATACTAAACGAAACGACATGGAAACCTTCCAATTCCTCTTCGATTTTATTCATTCTTGTCGTTCTTTTTAGTGCAGACCACTTGCACCTTATTTCGATATGCTGTCCATTTCGTGATCAAATTTGTGCAAGCCTTCAGCTCTGTTTTGAAATGTCGTGATCGGTCAAAGTTATCTGACAGGGTTTTTTGCACCGTATTCGGTACAAATGAGGTTGCTGTGCGCTAGTGAGGTTCAGATGTGTTGTATGGGGCGCCTAGTTAGGTTGATTATTTGGTTGAATGACAGAAAGTGGGCGGCAGTATGTCAGTCACGTTGAGTTACAAAAACTGCAATTATCGTCATGTCTAACACGAACTTTGCCAGTTCTCTCAACTAGTCCCAGATTATTCCTATGTGGGTAGTCCATCCCTCGTTCCTACACAAGTCGACACAAAAGGTGAAGCACTGAAGTTGTGTCACTCTTTAGTCATACACTCAAGACGGCCGAACGTTGTCAAACTAAAAACCCCTCAAATTCGAGTCTGCTTTGATGAAAAGCACACAGACATGTCTTTTGCTTAACCGTTGTAGCGAAGTCAATAAAATGTCGGACGTCTTCCACGTCTGGAGACGTAGGCAATTTTTTGGGATAATTTCCCACTCTGGGAGGTAAACAGTCCAGTTTTGACACCGAAGATGGTGGTAAAAATAGAATTCCTCACACGTCTACGCTAATAGAATAATTCAGGCACGATTTTCTCAAAACAGCGCCATCTTATCTGATAAAAGCAAACTTTGAATTGAGATGAAACTACTTTCCGGATTTGCCACGGTTTTAAATGATATCCGAAGGCAAACAATGAGACAGACAAACTGAAGAGGGCAGGTGTCAGGTCCACTTACTGCACACCATTGTCTCCTTCAAATCGAGCGCCTTGTCTCACGAACGTCTGTGGTTGGATGACAGCTCTTCAGCGACTGTCTCGATGTCTGCTATGATGCCTATAATGAGAAAGTCTTGTGAATACCAGGGATAAATAACATGACATGTCGGATGCTCTCAACAATTTTTCCGCGCCTGTTCAACAATCCCCTTTCTTTTCTTGTGGTTCTAATTATTTTTTTAGAAATTTTCTCCCATCGATGAAGATTTCATTGTCAGCCAACCAATGCTAAAAAGACGAACATAACTGTTTCATCCTTGTTGGAAATCATCAGTGTTGCGTATCTCATAAAACTCGGAAAGCTTCGAACCAGCGACCCTCCGACCAGTGGTTTTACACTTAATCGTTTGACTACTAGTGGTTTATCAGTAGTACGATTATCTCTCAATTTAATTCAGGTTACGGTTAACAGTATGAATGTATTTTTTCAACCACGTACAAATTGGCATTTCAAGAATATCTTATCAGCTGGAACACCGGACAACCTTTGTGTGACACATTTACTTGAAATAGATCCAGGTGGGATTCCGTCGCGTCCCCGGTTACAATCAAGTTGTCCGCAAATTAGTGAAGTTAGTGAACATACACGGGAATCTCCCCGCCAAACGACAAATAACAATGGGGTGGTCTTGCATGAGGCCGCTTGGTCCGGTCAGTTCCATGTCTTGTCAAATGACCTGAAATGACCTGTCCGGTAGATTGGGGATAACGCTGACTATCGTGATGCATGCCTAGCCACTGTAACCCGGTAGAATAATGAGTTAGTGGTTTGGATTTATAAAAACGTAGTTTTTGTTTCCCTGCGGTTTGAACGCAGTGCTGATGAGCGAATCTCCCTGAAAAACACCATGATGCCTTCACACTGAGCACAGTCGTTTATTGGCCTGTATCTCTCAGCCGTAACACCCTTCCGGTGCCAAGCTACCATGCTACCCGAAGTAAGCACGAGGGCTGGGGTACTGCCAGGTTGCCCAAGCCTAGACAGGGGAAGTCGAGAGGTAGGGATCGGGTTTGAAACAGGGACCTTCTGGTCAGTAAATACGCGCTCTAACCAATTAAGGAAACTCGCCTCTGCATGCCAACCACGAGCAGGCTGCCTACCCTTTATCGTTCACACGACAGGGTAGCAAGCATTCAGTTGGTTAAGCACGCAGAGGACGACAGATAGTTACACAATGATGACTGTCTGAAAGATAGAACTTGTCTGGTACTTGAACGCTGCTGACTCGGGTTCAGGGGTGGACGGGTTTTGCGAAAGTTCGGTGAAAATTTCCTGATTCGGTCAATTGAGCATCACTGTTCATGTTAAGGTGCGTCCCATAGAGAAACAAGGTCCCACAGTTGATCCCAGTCGGTTGGAGTTTCACCCAATGCCGTCGAAAGTCTATGATCTCGTCTTTTAAACAAGAATGAAGAGTTATAAACTCCAAATCTCAGCTGTCAAAGACGCGCCGCAGCACTCAGCGACGAATGCAAAACACTGAGTGAATACGGAAAACTAAGTTCCCCGTCTTCTAATACCTGGACTGATGTGCTCTGTAGCCTGGACAATTCTACAATGATGGGAATGATATCTCATCCCTGAGGTCTCCATATAAGTCATTCTTTCACCCTCCTTATTTGCTGAACTAATGCTCATTCGTGATCGCAACGAAAGAGTATGGCACTGTTACGACGAGGTTGGACCATAGGCAGGTAACCCTAATTTTAAAATTCGACCCACCAGAATGGTGGGGAGCTTATCGTTTCTAGGTGAATGCTGCTCATGTTCGCAAAAGGATAGTGAAAAGAGAGGAGCACAAAGGCATCCAGGTTCAAGTTGTTAAGGTCGCTACGTTCCACGTTGTCTCAGCTGTTCGGGTACGTTGCAACATGAAAACAGTTGTAAGCGTTTGGAGTAGATTATGTTCCATCTCTCACTGACTTGAAGACAAGGAATCATTTGATTTGTTCAAGCCAACCTTGCTGTTGTTGTACGATAACACATTAGAAACCTGTGAATACGAATACTATCATGATGAAAAAATCATCGAGTCCCGGTGAACAAGAGTAGGAAACAAGCGTGGATAATGAAGCAAAGTTGGTCGATATCTGTGAGTTTCTCGACATTTCATACATTCGACAGGCTTCGGAGGAATCAACAGGAGCGTGTCAAAACGCCACGGCTGGAGAACAATATGTATAGGGGTTGTGTAAAAATGGAACGGGATTAGGCGTAAAGACAGACAGACAAACGGTGATAAACTGTTTGGAATGCGCTGCAACACATAGCAACTAAAGCGACGCAGTTAGCGTTGGCTAAAAGCTTCCAGTGAAGTAGAATCTTCGCGGTCTGAAGTGTACAGATTACACTACTGAATTGTAGACCCCTGCTTTGCATCAGGCTAGTTTGTGGTGTGTGTGTTGCGGCTAGTAAGTTTGCGCTGTAACCACTGAGCCGTCTCTCCCCCTGACCTTCGGACCCGTAAGATCGCAGCTTAACGACTAAGTTATCTCGAGCTCAACTGCGGTAGATCAGTGTTTTCCAAAAAGAAATCCTGTCTTTTGGACCAAGTGTCCACAGATCCCAGAAAAACCATAGTACATCCAACCTTCTCGCAGTAACTTTAAAAGACATGCACCACGCGTGCTCGCTTATATCATCTCCACATGATCCTGTCAGATTTCCACACTTGAGCAATTCCAAAGGCTCGCCAAGAAAAACCGATATATTATTGTATACAAAAAACCGCCCACCTTTACCGGGATCCACTGAGGGCTTTGTGTCTGTTTTTAGAATGAGCATCCTGACGATCGGGTTTCTTGCTTGCGTACGAGTTCTCTAGGTGGTTGAAGTTCTTCCGTGTTAGCGATGCGGAAATAAATCACTCTAATGGTGCATTCCTGACTGTTATCCGTCTGCAACACTCTGCCACCTACGCCGAACGAACAGCGAAACGCGGAAAAAAACAACTCCGTATTGTGGTAGAAAACAGTTTACTTTTTTTCGGTTCAGCAGAACCTCAAATTTTAACGGAAACAGACGTAAACCAAATTCGATTGGAAGAAAAGGTAAGAAAAATAATCACAATATGAATCATGGATTTCAGTGTGAGAGAACGAAATGGTGGAAAGCGAATTTTCTAATTGATCACTCAGATCGCCGGCTCAAAAATGTTACCTTTCTGGCGGTTTCTGTTCGAAAAAGGAAAGAATGGATCGGATGAACACGTGGCTTGGCTGATTGCGAGAACAAAATAACTGAAACTAAACTTTATAAGAACCAGACCCCCAAACTCATTGGTTCCCAGTTGCGGGTAGTGGAGTCCTTCCGGAGGTCAGGAGATGTTGCCGAGATTTCAACCGTTGTCCGTCCCTCTACAGAAAGTCTACCAACTCGAAACAAAAAAGCATCTTACAGTTGTGACTGAAAACGAGGCTTTGGGATGAAAACTAGTAAACTCGTGATTTTTTACTGAATTTCTTATAACCAGTGGGAATTGCTGTCTGGATGAGATAATTGAGTCTACTAGGAAAATTCCGAAGCGAAAGAAATCTGGGTCTCTCACTTTGCTCAAGGACTCTGTTTGAATCAGAACCCCAGTTCCGGTGCATCAGATGCAGACTTACGCGTCACAACTGGAACGTAGTTATCTCTAAATGTATACACTGAATGTCAATCATTAAAGGAGGCGGTCAAAAGCGACGGGCGGCGCACAATTTAATGCAATGTTTCCCAAATTAGTAGCATCAGTCTACAAAAAACGACGCTTGTATTCGGCCAAGACCTGGGCGGCGTACACCGATCTATGTTGCCACCGTACAGTCGACTGAAAGATGAACATCTGTTCGACGGCATTCCGTAAAATCTGTTCAGCTCGTTCAAAGGAAGCTACCGCGTCTGTTCTCAATCCAGTGTTAACAAAGTAGCTTTCATGAGTTTTAACTATCCAATAGTTCACAGGTGTATCAAACTGATGGGGCATGTTCCTCGTGTGATCATCAGCTCGATTTTCTGCAGTGCCTTAAATTGTATGGAAGTTTGGGTGTTGAGCAGTTCCTATGTCTGAGTGTTCGAATAATACTCTGAGCAGTCTAGCTGACGAGTAGGCCTGTTTTTAGTTGAAGTTAGATCTGACGCCACCCATGCTTACGTCTAGCGGGATTAGTAAAACGAGAAAGTGGGCGAAGTACATCATTAAGACGAATGGAACCCAGAATAATGAAATTATGTCGAACAGCAAATCAACCGAGTTAGCAGAACCTGGGGAGTTCTAAACGCTTGGTAATTGCAATGCAACGCAGCAAAGTTGTTGTGGACCATCACCTGAACTGATGTTGAATAGCTGGAGAGTCCACTGAATTTTCGTGAAGAGTTCAACCGTTTATCCGGAGCAGGCACGGACCATCATCATCCTCTAGGGAGAACATCCACGATACCGACCCACATCGTCCTCTCGAAATAGCCCTCCTCAAAGTTGTTGTTCCCATCTCTGTATCCAATACTGTTTAATTCATATTTCTGTCATTTCCGGATCTTACTGAATCCTTAATACTCGGATGGCGAGTGTCAACTGACGCACGTTGAAACGCTGCCAGCACCTCAACGGAAAGTTGAGGTTTTGTTTTGTTTTGTTTCACTAGGGTGCTCCACCTTTAAGATCGTGATACAATCCGTTTCAATATAAATAAAATAAATCGTTCAGCTGTAACACTCGACTCGTGCCTAGCTGCCATGCTACCCAAAGGAGGCACGAGGGCCGCCCAGGCTCCAGCCCAGAAAGGGGGAGGAGGCAGAGGTCGGGTTCGAACCACGAACCGTCCGGTCCAGTAAATTCCGCTCTAACAACTTGAGCCATCTTGTCCAAAGTGGTCATGAGGTACTTCAATTGATGAATGCCATTTTATTGGTTTCTTAGAACGGACTCACACGCTCAGGGTAGTCAGTAAGATCATCTGAGAGGTTGGGTGAAGTTATTGTCACACTACAGAACGGATATCAGCAAAATAATCTGTGAACACATTGGAACCCCTAGATTACAAAAACCAAAAACTTACACTCTCTGAACCCGCCGGTTTCTGTTCCATTTTCTCACGCATCGCCTTCAGTTGTTCAGCATCCTGTAAAATCAAGAATTTAATCAGCCCAACACTGATTTATCACACAGGTGCTTTTGTACAGATGAGTGATTACATTTACAGGTGCACAAGATAGCTGGGTTCTAGTGGGTTCTCCCGAAACTATCCTGCCCGCGAGAGCTGATTATAATTTGGGGAACCATTTGGACCTCAAGTAGCTTTGTACCATCCCTAAAGTTACAATCAAGTTGTCTGCAAATTAGTGAAGCTAGTGAACATACACGGAAATCTCCCCGCCAAACGATAAATAACGATGGAATGGAATTGCAGAAGGTCGCTTGTTCCGGTCATTTCCATGCCATGTCAGATGACCTGAAATGACCTATCCGATAGATTGGGGATAACGCTGACTATCGCGCTGCATGCCTAGCCACTGTAGCCCGGGAGAACAATGATTTAGTGTTTTGGATCTGTAAGAACAGAGTTTTTGTTTCCCCGCGGTTTGAACGCAGTGCTGATGAGCAAATCTCCATGAAAAATACTACCACACCTTCATACTGAGCACAGTCGTTTACTGGCACGCATCTCTCAGCTCTAACACTATTCCGGTGCCTAGCTGCCATGCTACCCGAAAGAAACACGAGGGCTGGGATACTGCCAGGTTGGCCACGCCTAGACAGCGGAAGTCGAGAGGCAGATGTCGGGTTCGATACACGGCCCTTCCGGTCAGCAAATTCGCACTCTAACCACTTGGGTCATCTCGCAGTGGATATGAAACACGATCGAATGACTAAGACAGTCAAGTAACTGCTGGTCATTTGGCAAAAAACCACGTGGTTAACCTACTGTCCGAATGAGAGACAGCGACTGGACCAGTGAGGCCTTTTGAAAACACTCAACTCATTGTTAAGACAGCATGTTCTAAAGATCACCTCTGCTTGGTCTCTTTCGACGATGTCCAAAGAGAACGATAACTGTACTTCCAAAAACCAAAGTCTAACAAGTTGAGATCGTCATCCGCACGGATGCAAACTGGCACAGCACTCCCTCATTAGTGCTATTTCAGAATATGAAAGCTAATTCGGTCCTATTAGAGACCACTGTCGCAGAAAGAGTCTGTACAGGCGGTACTGTACCCTTGGTATAGGAGCTTACACAGAAGGCCTTCGGACTGTAAACCTTTAGTAAGCTGTTCTCTATTAACTGGCTTCCTTTCGTGAGGCTCCAAGACACCTTCCAGACGGGTTGATGTTTACCAGTGCCTACAGTCGTGACAAGTCGTTTGCCGAATACAAACCAACTACTTGGCTAGGCCAAAAAGGCTGTCAATTCGGTAGTCTAAGTCTCTGTAGAAGGGACTATAGCAAGGATCATTACATCAAGCGGTTTCACCGATATTTGATTGACTCGTTGGTTTCGAAACACTTAAGAATGAAATACAGTAGGACCCAGACGCTAGTGTACGCGGTAACAGTGGAACATGGTACTCCAGGTTGTTTCTCAAATGTCTTTGTGCAGCACTTGAAGGACAGCATTGCAATGACGCAGACGGTATAATGAAATAATTTACCTGGCGACGAAAGTATTCATCCTCAAGTGCAGCTCCGCGTTTTCCAAGCGCTCCACCCGCTTCGCGAACAGGACCACCGGCGCCACCACCCTGCAATAATCGAGATAAGGGAGAGGTGGAAGCGGTACACAGTCAGTGTGCCGCAAAAAATAGTCTATCAACCAGTCATGCATAATCTATATTGCCCCTTTCGGAGACTACAGTTCGAATCTGTCAAATTGCTGCTGACTAGGCCTGGAGAGCCTAAAGTTTTTCCATCCTTCGTAGATCCTGTGAGTCCCAAGAAAGTCATGTCTGGAAGCCTTGAATGTAGGATCAACATAACTCTTCAGCTTTCTGTACATCCGCTCGGCTTTCTTTTCCTTGCCAAAAAAGAGACTGTTTGCATGGAGAAGTCACAGGAGATTCGGTATCCACATCTAGCAGGACCTCTTTCCTAGCTTCCACGTACAACCAAATGCGCTACGCATAATAGTAACGGAGTGCTTCTCAGTCTTGTCAAAAGTAAAGGGTCTAGGGAAGGAGCAACGTCAGTGGTGAATGTTATGAGAAATGAGTGGTTTCAAGTCGAGATTAGAAGACAGAATATGAGGGCACAATGCACATGAGATGAAAATATAGAGTGACAGATACCAGTTAATGATATATGAAAAGTATGGTTTATGTGATCACGACAAGAGTAAGGAAACATTGGAAGAGAGAAGGCCTTAGACTGCCTATATTTGAACACAGACAAGACAGGCAAGAGCACTCAATCAAGAGGAATGAGGGAGCAAAGGCACGTCACCCACAAATCAAGTTATTTTCACTGAACTAACTGCTTTCTTAAATATCAGGGAACCTGGAGGCCAATGGGTTATCAGCCTATGTGCCTAAAATGCCTCGTATGATCAAGCTAAGGGCCACAACCTACAATCTCGTCACAGCAAATGAATGATCAAATGCAGTGAGTTTGACTGCCATTTTGCCTTTTCGGGCGAAACCATCGGTCCGACTGGTTGACATGAGAATTTCGTTCACTTAAAATCTCACTGGACTTTGTCGTAAGCCCAAACAAAGGACTATGGAGTGTGAGTTCCGGTGAGTGAGTTGAGGAAGATACCGCAAGGGGAAACCCCACTGATGAAAGAATTAATATTTAGTACACCGGTGCCGCCGGAAACTGTTAAGGTTATACACTTCATGTTGACTTACTTTCCCCGCTCCGGCACCTGGCTCAGAAAACATTAGAGGGCGCTAAATCACGGTAAAGAAAAGGGCAAGCTGACGATGACGCGCAGACTCAAACAGGCTGACCACCGCTGGACTTCAGTGCGGCTGTTTAGGGTAAAAAGAAATCAGGTTTAAGCGAAAGTCTTGGGTGAAAGAATTAGCATAACCAGGATTCTAAGGATCTAGTCAAAACTTTGGTTTTGTTTGCGCGCACGTGAATCAACAGGAAATAGAGTTTATGTGGGGGATAAAGATAGAAACGATACGAAGGTACGACCGACAAGTTTAAACATCGATCCAGCCCTCAGTGTACGACTTATTCGTTATAACTATTCTGGGAAGAACAGAAAACCAAACACAAGTTTGGATTGGCAAAACATATGAGGCTGGCATAGGGTGAGCAGTGGTACCTTCCCAGACTTTAGCGTGCCATTTTTGGATAGCTGTCAGAAAGCGAGATGAAGCCCTATTCGCTGTTTTCTTGTTAGGGTTTTCCAGCAAAGTGAAGAGCAAAAGCTGGTGTTCGGCGCTTTAAATAGGCTGACAGACCATTGGTTGTGTGTATACGAGAGGTGGTCAATTGAACAGTCAGATGGTGCATGAAGCACTCTTGATCCCTAATCTAAAAATAAGTTGCTCAATAGTGAATGTATCGTCGTTTGAATACTCTGAAAACCCTGGATGAATGGTTCAGTTCAAAAAGCGCGCGATCTGAATTCCGGCTGAAAGCTGCCACAGGAGCCCAAGCTCTGCTCTTCGCCCTGCTGCACAGTAGACTAGATTTTCGTTGAATAGAAGGGGTCGATTTGAGACTTCTAGGTCAACCTTTTTCCTCGGCTGGGCAGCAGGAAGGTATCCTGTCCACACATCCTTATTCGGATGATCTGCAGCGCCAGCACAAACCCGTCGGAATTTAGCCGATCAAAAGCAGTCCGACTAAGGATCGACAGTTTGCGAGTCAGCGGGATCAGCTGCATCCTGTCTTGCAGTGAATCCAACCAGGTAAAGGGATAGTCACGCGAATAACAATCCGCTTGAACATCCAACCAGGTAAAAAGATAGTCACGTGGATAGTCACGCGAATAACAATCCGCTTGACTGAATATACCCAGTCATTGTTCGTTCTTGAAAGCTAAACCAACAAGGGTTTGAAAATCACTTCCACTAGTAGACGGTGGCTAGATGCGCATCGTACATGACCCAACCACCACAACCTGGTAAATTTCATTTTCTGTTCATCATCATTATCATCATCACCAGAGACAGCAACATCGGAGTTGACACTAATGCTTCACTGCTGTGCAACCACCCTTCTACAAGCTCTTTTTCACGCCCTTCTGCCAAGTCATGCATTATCCACATTGCGGTTTGCGTCATTCCGAAGGAGGTACAGAGAACAATACTCGTCTCGGTAGACCATGTTTCGGCATGCGTAGCAAATGACCGAGCCACGGCAATTGATGGTGCTGGATGTTTATCGTGAACGAAGTACCTGCTGCACAACCAAATACCCGCGCAGCATCGTTGCGCGTACCCTGTCAGAGGGTGAACTCGCTGATCACGGTCAAGTAAAACACTGCAGTTTCTCACCAATCGCACTCAGCGATTATAAATTTGAAGACCGCTTGGCTGCGATACTTTTTTGGTGCTTAGCTGGCATGCCTTTTCGAAGAAAGCGTGAGGCCCTAGATAATGTCAAGCTGTCCACGTCTAAGGGTGAGATGGCTCAGTGGTGAAAGCGCGAATTTACTGATAGGAAGGTCCGTCGTTCGAATCCGACCTGCGCCTTTCGACTTTCCCTGTTTAGGCTTGGGCAAGCTGGAAGTATCCCGGCCCTCGTGCTTCCTTCTGCTGCAATGGCAGTCAGGCAACGAAAGAGTGCTACAGCTGAACGATCTTTCTTGTCCATGTCTAGACAGGAACAGTGGAGATGTCAAGGTCGGGCTCGAAGAATTGACCTTCCGTTCAGTAACTTCGCGCTTTAACCACTGAGCTATCCCGGGCAAAGTGACGGCTGATTGTTTTCGCAGTATCCGAAATAGTGAGGGAATTGAGGGGCGGAGAGTGTACACTTCATCTGTTTTCCATAACGCGTTTCGGTTGTTTGCTTGTTGCATTGCAGGCTACGCAACAGATTTTGCGTATGCAGCTAGTTTGGTCACCTGTACTGATTGGGTTTTATTAGAGTATCGAGTGTTACCTGAAGGTGCTGTCTATTTTGAACACTGTATACGTTAAATTATTATATAAACACACGAATTTGTTCAGAAATCTGAGTGAAATAGGGGCCTGAACCGCATACAGGATGCGACTAGTCGAGTGCCTCTCAAATGAAAGATATTGGAGGCCTGGAAACACCACAAACGAGAGATTCAGCTGGGTTCCAAGTTAGTCTCTCGCAAAACCAAATTAGTTTGCAAATGAGTGTATGGCGCTAATATCGGATAGCTGTTTTGCCGCAGCACAATCCTGATGCTAGTGACCTCCATGGCATCAGGGGCCTCATCACGGGGGCCACCACGTGCACGGAGCCGACCACGGTTCGTTTCACTTTCAAAGAACGGCAGAAGTAATCCGGGTATCGCCCCCAAATGAGTCGGTTCGCGCTACAAGGTCACATCAACGTCCAATTCTTTAGCTCTAATGAGAGTCTAGAAAGCTGAGGAAACAACCCACGCTTCAAATTCTCAAGCCAAGGTTAATGCAAACTGTTCAAGAAAGGCACTAGGTCGTCTGACGGTTCTCGTTGCTCTACCACAAAGGTGTCTGAATAACGCCACGAAATACGCCTATGGCGTGGAAACTAAACCATAATCTGATTTCCTAAATGTCAGGTAAAACTATTCGCCTGGGTGGTGCGACTGAAGAGCTCGTGACAACTTCAGGAGTTTGTACAACATTTGTAAGTCATCATCATCTCGTTGTAAAATGCAACATTCATGTTGCTCAGTGGTTATATCCGCCAGATTTTTGTTCGTCGATGATCTGGGGAGGACGGTGTGGAAAGCTACGCATCCGAGGCGGAGGATGATATAATTAATGCGTCAGTACAAGGGGCGTCAGTGAACGTTTCGGTGGGGGGATTGAAGGGGGTGCTATGCACTGAAAACAACAGCTTGGATACATTCACAACACTAAGCGAGCAACAGTGTGGAATCTAAAACGTCTCTAACAACTGATGTATCCAACCTCGAGAGGGAGACGGTGATTACCAGTTTGCTGGTAATGGCTTTCACACTTTGCTACCAATTCATTGACTGACCTCTCCAGGCTCGTTTCCACCCATCACGTGGTTGCGTGAAAACGGCCCTCCAAAGAAACCAGCCGGCTGACATACGAAGCATGTGATTAAACCACCACAACCTATGGGGTGTAGGGAGTTCATCCACCGCGGGCGAGTTGTTCCTTCCGAAAACCATTGGACGTACTCCAGAATTACTGGTTCGGTGTCTCTACCAACCTCAGGTAATGCTCCAAAGACAAAGTTTTTCGCGTCCTCACCTCACAGAGGACAGGTTTCTGATCCAAATAACAATATGGTCGAGGTGGCTTATTGGTTACAGTGCGAATTCACTGACTGGAATGTCCGTAGTTCGAACCCGACCTCTGCCCCTCGACTTCCCCTGTATAGGTTTCGGCAACCTAGCCGTATCCCAGCTTCCATGTTTCTTTCTAGTGGCAAGGCAGTTAGGCACCGAAATGGTGCTACAGGTGAACGATGAGGCGCACCGCCGCATTGGATGTATGTAAGTTGATGTCACGTCTGTACCACAGGTGATGCAGGCTCTCAAAAGTTATTTTAGCTTTCCAATCCGGGTAGAAATATCCTTCTTGGCTACACCGCTGGAACCGACAAAGCAACCCAGTTAGACAAGCTCAATTGTCTTATACACGAGCATGAGGTCGGGGTTCAAACCCACCCAGACTTGCAGAACTCTACACTTTGCAGCTGGGAGTCGCGCGCTGAACCACAAGGCGAAATTTAGATTAACTGACGTCTGCACTAAAACGGCATCGGATTCAAGAATAGCTATATCATATGCGTACTCGATATCTGTGAGCGAACGTCCTCGGAGCATTTCGACCCCACTGGCATTAGAAACGGTGAATGCGTCTCCCTTAAGCATGATGAATCGTTCAGCTGTGACATTCTTCCGGTGAACGACTACAAAAAAACACCCGAAAGAAGAAGCCGGAGCAGCTTCCAGGATGCCAGAGCATTGACAGGAGCAGTCGAAATGTCGGAGTTGGGTTGGAACAACGTTACTCCGGACCAGTAAGTTTGCGCTTTAACCACTGAACTATCTCGTGCCTCATCCATGACCAAATCAATGGCGAAGTTGGAGGAGAAAGGTTGATGGGGACAGCTTTGTTTGACACCACTTGATATAGTGAGCTCAGGCAAGGCTTTTCGTAGACATTCACGCATCCTCGGGAGTTGGCGTACAGCGCGAGAATTTAAGAGGGGGATCTTTGCTCCATGGTGCTGTAATGGCGCCCGATGACCCAAAGAACCACAGGCGGCTCGTCTTCACATCGACCGTGCAGGTCCAGTGGGTGGCTCCAAAACTACGTCGACAAACTTCAAGGTAGAGGTCACAGGCGGAATCCCTCATCAAAACCACTTTCATGCTCACAGTTAGCCCATGCTACGCCCAGCCCCACGCGACCGAGCAGAAGACGGCTGCTTGCCGATGCAGCATCAATCACGGATTCACGGATTACTCTTCCCTGTCCAGAGCCCGTGGTGATTCGTCCGTGGTACCTGCAATGGGGGAAGAGAGAAAGGGAGGGGCACGTATAAGGTCATATGAGAAACGGGCAAGCAGATACCTTCGAGTTTCAAGTGCGTTACAAGGTTTTTGCCCAAGTTTCCCCGGTCGGCTTTGTTCTTATCGGTCAGTGGCCGTCGTTCACCTGAAAGCCAAACGCTATTGGTCGAAAGTGTGGACCCAGAAGCCAATCAATGTTCAGTATCTCCCGCATGCCGGTTACGAAGCCACATCATCGATGCACGGTGCTTTTCACTGCAAAACCTGCAAACCTGCAAAGCGTTTGTGTTAATGTTACGAATACACATTTTTCCGGTGTGACCTGCTGCCTTCTTGCTGAACGAGTGCATTTACGCTTTTCGCGATTTCTTTTAATACATAAAGAAGGACTATATGGCATTTGTGCGTTCATCCGGAAATCGAAGCACCAACGCGCCTTTGCGTTACGCAGCAGGCGGCCTGCAAGGCGAGCGGAAAGTCGGTAAATCTGAAGAACGTAGTAAGCTGAGCGTGCTTCGTAATAAAAAACAGTAACCGAAGCTCCCGCTCTTCAGTGCGGCTTGTCTAAGTAGGCAAGGGAACCATCTCGCAGTCACCTCTCATAAAGTTCCTTAATTTTGCGCGATCGGATTACGGTAGGTCAACAGT